CTTTCCTGGGAAACGAACTATATTCGGCCTTTCACATGTACACAATCGGCTTCTTACACGTACACAATCCGAACGTCAACAGAAAGAGTAGCAGAGCAACAAATTTTATTTAGTTGCATGCAAACAATAGGCGAAGCAGGTTGAAGACGCATTTCCGTGCATTACCACCAACACATTCTCATTTTTTATTTCATAACTAGTACATTCTCATTTTAAGACTTCTCTTTTTGGCGGACACTGGTTTAAAGTAATAAGAGGGGTTTGTTTATTAATTTATATTTATATGATCAGAAGGTCGAACTGAGCCGAGTTAGCCATGTCCGTCTGTTCGCCTGTTTGTATGCAATCTGCTCCCTCATTTTTCGAGATATCCGACCGAAATTTGGTGGTGAGTCCATTTTTATAATGTATTAATCACTTGTTGGAACCGGAAAAATCGGATCACTATAACAAATAGCTCCCATACAACTGATTGTCAGATATGAGATTTTTCGTTATAACTCCTCCATTTATGTAGCAGTCGGTATAACTAACACATATTTATTTTCACAAACACATCCAAACCAACTCGCGAGTCAGATGCACAGTGTTTGCTGCCTTTAACGAAAATCAGCCTGATTTTGAATTAAGCCGAGGCGATTGGAAGAGAAGTCTGCCATTCCTATAGGACTATACTACTATAGTCCATTGTCAGTCGACTGCTTTCTTTATTAAGGCCTCTAATGAGCTCCTGGCAGAACGAATCTTCGCCAATAGACGCCTCTTGTAGAGGCTACCACTGTCGCAACCTTTAGCTATATATAAGCTTCCCTTTATACGATTAAGCTTCCAAAGGCTGTCTAGACTCGTTTGACTGATTGAAGGAGAAATCAGTGCTTCTTTGTCTGAGAAAGGCAGCCTCACTATTTAGAAATGCCAATGGATATGCCGCCAAGAGTCGTGTTAAGAGTAGAAGTGATCCGCTGTATTTCGAAGCTGACTATTTTCTGCTTAGTTTCTTACTGAACCTTAAACCAGCCCAAACAAAAACTGTAAATTCCACACACGGTTTTAAGGGCGCTGATAAAAATTTTTAGCTCTTAAAAAGTTAAGGAAGGATGATAATGCAGCTAGCAAGAGCTAAATATATGAAAATCGCATTAAAAAGTGATGTTGTTTTTATGTCTGTATGTAGATGGATAACGCGAGAGCACAGGAAATACATAAGATGGAGAAAAGTCGTAAAATTTATAAGTATAAATAGCTGAACTCAAGCGCAAGTAGGACTACACACACACACTTACTCAAACTTGTGGTAAATATACTCAAACATTAACAGGTAGAAAATTTTAAGTATATGAAAAGGAAATTCACAGCCATTTGCGGCACACTCGCAGCACACATTATTAAGTAACACACTCATACGCGCGTCTACGTGCCACAAATGTGTGTACATATGTATGCCAGTAGGTATATGCGCGTACATGAGAACATGCCTGCGAACAGCTTAATTAAAACTTTGGTAAATTTATTTAGGAAGAGATTATGTGTGTCAGTTTACAGGCACGTGCTATAGAATGAAAATGATTTAGCGTAAACACGGCCGCCAGCTTTAGGCGATATTGCAAGATGCTGCGCTAAGCATAGTTATAGGCGCGCGAAAGAGAAGTAGAGCTTGAGAATTTCGCAATTTGGTGGCTTAAGAGGCAGAAAGATGATGCGTTGAGCTGCTCCATATTATAAAAAAATTTAAGTTGACGTTATCTTTGCAGCGGTCGGACACTTTCAGGTGTTTTTAATGAACTCCGCGTAATTTTTGTTTACCAACGATACCACGTTCTGATGGGAGTCTCTCCCGAACTCGGCAATAGACCCATTCGATTTTAAGCTTACCTTTCTGTATCAGGTTTATACCGTAGACCAGAGGTAATTCAATTATTGCAAACTTGGTATCACAATAGGTTGTGCCAATCTGTAGTACCTTACACTTTGACGTGATACTTTTATCAGTATCATCAGGCTTTATTGCGTTCAGAACTTCCAATTCATCCGTTGATTCATCCATGGCATTGGCAAATTCAACGGAAATTGCACACGGAAATGGTGCACCGGAAATGGTGCAACGGAAATAGTGCAACGGAAATGGTTGTAGCTGAAACAAGTGCTTCTTGAGTGTATGCACATGGTATGAATTTAACAAAAACTTGCTAATAAAAGGTTATATAATAACACATGGAAAAGGACGAATAGAAGAATGAAAGTAAAGGTGAGTACGTACATAGATAAAGAAAAGCATAAAGGCAAAGGTAAAAATAAAAACAAAAACAAAGATGCGTAAAGATAAAGGCAAACATGAAGACCAAGGAAAATTTAAACACTTTACTTATATAAGGGCACAGGTGAGGGGAATAAGTAGATGAAGAAAATGATAAACATAAAAGTAAAAACAACGATAAGTATAAAGAAAAAGATGTGGATGAGGGTACCGATAAAAGTATAGATGAAGATAGAGGAAGAAATATCAAAATAAAGATAATTATAGAGAAAAGAATATAGATAGAGGCACAGAGACTCAATATTTTTATCGGTTCCTTTTGTCGATATTTTTATCGATTTTGTTATCGAAATGTTTTTCGAATTTGTTGTCAATAGTTTTGTCGATATTTTTATCGATCTTGTTATCGATACTTTCGGAACATCATAATAATCGATATTTTTATCGATATTTATATCGAAATTTTTATCGAATGTGTTATCGATAATTTTATCTATTTTGTTATCGATATTGTAATCGATATTTTTTGTCGATATTTTTATCGATTTTGTTATCGATATTTTTATCAATTTTCTAATCGGTTTTTGTTATCGATTTTGTTATCCATTATTTATAGATGTTTTGTCGATTTGGTTATCGATTATTCATCGATTTTGTTATCGATTATTTATCGATGTTTTTATTGATTTTCTTATCGATTTTGCTACCAACATTATTGATTTTGCTATCGAAATTTTTATCGAATTCGTCATCGATTTGGTTATCGATATTTTTATCGGGTTTTTATCGATATTTTGTTGGATGATACTATCGATTTTGTTATCGATAGAGTATAAAGATAAAAACTAAGATAAAGGAAAACAGCGATCTATATATAAAAAAAATATGACCTTAAGCAAAAACAGATGTATGTAAGTATCGGTTATGAGACAAAATAGATATGTAACGTACGTTTCACTTCTCCAGTGTGGCCCAGGCGCACAATTTTTTTTTGTGGGGATTTTTATGTCATATCCAAGCTTTTCTGTTTTTCCTTTTTGGTTGTTGTTGTTTCCGATGAATTTCCGTCATCCCTTGTCAAATTTGGTTTGGAGACAAACCAATCGGCTTTGTGCCATCTTCAGTGTCATTTTTCGTTCTGCATATTTTATGTTGGTTGCTCGTATTTATACTCCTCGTTAACTACCTCTTTCTTTTGTTAGGTACGTCTTTTTAGTTTTGCAGTGTTTGCGGTGCTCAATAGGTAGATGAATTGTTTTGGCTCGTTTTTGACGGCAGGTAGAAGTCCGTGATTTTTACCCTCTTTGTTTTTGCAGTTGGTGTATTCCCTTCCATGTCTGTCCTTAATATTTTGTTGTTGTAATTTTTCTTCTCGTACAGTAGTTTTAGAGGTTCAAACAGTACGTCCGATACAGTATTTATTTGCTCATTTATTACTTGTCCTTTGAAGGTCTTCTGTTTATATATTTCCATATTTTCTAATATACTCAATCTTTGTCCTTTATGTTGTACACGGAGAAGTTCTGTTGTTTGTCCAATCTTCATTGGTGTGCATTTATTTTTGATCATGTGATTCGCGTAGTTCGATTCTATTGCAGCCTCTGTTTTTTTTTATTTTACAGCCGGTTTCACCAGCAATTTAAATGTCAATTCCATATCAAATTCAAAAAATTAAAATTATTTTTCACTTGAATTGCTTTCGTGAAATTGGCTGTTAATTAGGTTAAATTTAAAATGTTTTTTTGCGCCAGTTTTCATATAAATTTCAATTTAAAAAAACATTCACTTCTTTAATAACGATATCGCTCGAGATGTATAATAATAACTGATTGACAAGCAGTTTATTTTAATTTAAATTATTTTACTTACTTTAAACATAATTCAATTTAATTTAAGCCAATTTTACTTTGATATATTTAGTATGGTCTAAGCACAACACTCTCACTCAACATCTTTGCAAAATGCAGATCTAAATTGTAATCGAATGTGTAATATTTTCGCTTAAGCGCCTCCTGCGCAAACAAATTGGACCTACACACATATGCGGGGGCACGCAATGGCCCAAAGTTCAAGCAGGTAAAGTTTGTTAGGCACACAAAACTATTTGAAGCGCCACTGCCAATCCGTATTCAGGCAGTTTCGCTTGATTGCTTTCGCCTCTGCCAACGAATGCAGAAATGCATTTTTTCGCGTTGCCGACAACTTTTCCCTTTGAGTGCAATGAAGTTATTCGCATGCATTAAATCGCGGGCAATTTTTGATAAAATCACCAGCGAAGTTTTGAAGTTATAACTACGCGCAAATGAACGGTTAAAGTTGGCTCGAGTGTGTGGGTATACATACGTACAAATGTGTGTTAAATACTTGCCTGAAAAGTTTAATAGCAATTGAACTTGGGCATGTTGGAAATTTTCAAACTCTCAATTACGCTCATTTACAGATTTCCGCGAACGTGGGTTTACATACTTATATATACATATGCTATGTTATTTCGTTCACTTAAAAAACATACGCATTCATGTTGGTACTGCTTGAAATCAGATTGTGAAGCCATTACCATAACTCGTTTGACTTGTTGTGACATTTTCGTGGCATTTTATTTCTAAACTCGAAATTCCGTAAAAAATCAGCAGGCGGCTGTGTAAAGTCGCACACAGTGCTGTACTAATATTTTCTATTAGCAACGTTTTAAACAGAAAATTGTATAAAATTTACTAGGTTATTTCGGACTAAAAGCTTTTAAATATTAGTAAGGTAGGTGAGCGTAGGTAGCGTAACATGTAGCTGTAGCTATGAAAGCACTATCCGACTGAATGAGTTCCTAAGGGTTGTAATTATTTGCGAGCAAAGCTCTATAAACCTGAGTCGCCTAAAGGCTAAGCAACTTTGAAAAAAGTGTTTAGGTGATTTTAGCTCATTCCTCTAAATAGCAACGACATATCATATTAGATGTGATATTTAGCCTCAATGCGCATAAATATAAAATAGGGTCCTAACAAAGATCTCTTGACCGTCTTCGGTCCATTCATGGATAAAGGAAATTTTGCAGTTGAACTTGTACTGCTCTTATTCCAGAGATACCTCCCATATATGTTAAAATACTGATGACGCATACTTCTGAAAGCATTTGCCCAGAATACTGAGATGAGGTATTTTATCAATGCCATGTTACTGAGTTAGATTTGGAGATATGTACTGAAAAACGGACTTGACATCTTCCGTAAATTTACATGTTCACAGGGTGTAACCATGTAAGAATTTTATGCTTAACCGTGCAGGATTATAGTTTTATTAGAGACCCGTGCCTTAAGCTGAAATTGCGAACAGAGTCACAGGTCCATAGGAAGGGGTGAAATTTCAACTACTAAATTTGACCCAAAAAACAAAAAGGTAAGCTAAATAAAAGCAATTAAAAATGCATTGTAATATACCATAAAATATACCGTACGTTTTTGGCTAAACTGTAGATATTTCAGCTTCAATAATTCAAGAGGTGATACGTTGTGTAATGTATATGTAAAATTGAAATTTTTACACATGCAATTCTCAATTGCCATATAAAAAAAATTTCTTAAGTTTAGTTCTGAATGGTTTACTATTTTATATAGTTTTACATCGCTATTTCGCACCAAGTATTCGTTTCTTCCTCTTCTTCTTCAAATTTATTTTTTAATCTCTCATTCTCTCACTTTTATGATGTCACACCCGGTTGCTTTCTTCTCGATTGGCGAGATCTTGTATTCTATCAATCTGGCATCTAACTGCTTTATTTCTTTCAAATATTTTTCTTAACTATCAAATATGATCTACAGCGTTAGTTTTAATTTTAAACTTGTATGAAATATGCAACTAATGAGATCCACATTGAAATCATATGTGACTTATGTATATACCTATATGCACACTACAAACAGCAACTCAAAAATTCGCATTTTTATATACATAAGCACATACATAATTATTTATCACAGTACTTGACTTCTTTTGGCCACAAATTCTTGAAAACAAATTCCGAAACGTCTGATGTCTGATTGTCTGTCGGTGCCACACTGAGCATTCCACTTCATTACACTCCACTTCACTGGTTCTTTCACTGCGAGCTAGTACTTATTGACTTGAAGCTATTACTTGCTCACTTACTTGCCACGCTTGCAACTTAAGACAGCTGCCACGTCTTTGATTGAACTTAATTAAAATTCAGCAATGCAGAAAAGAACAGTAAAAATAAAGAGTTGCAGGTTGAGATTTCTGAGGAGTTGTTACGGTAGAAGGCAGCGAAATGGCTGCGATGTGGAGTAAATAATTAAGTTATAATAAATGCGAAACAATTAGGTATGTACTGTCTAAGGTGTTGTAAGGAAAAGTGCACGAAATGATTTTGCAATAGAAGTGAGAAAAAGTTTAATGTAAAATACAAGTACTGATGCCCAATTTAAACATTCCCAGATCTCAGTGCAATGCGATCAAATATCTTTGTTAAACCAGGCGGGCTTAGATTTACGCTTCATATAGTACGCGTTGAGCGGCATAGCGGTGCTTGCTCTATTAAGCGTCGTTGTAAATTACAGAGCACTATTTTTGAATTCAAGATAATTGTAATATTTAAGTATGTCTGAATCGGCTTTTATTTGTGCTTTAGTATGCATTTTTCTGTACGGATCGAAGTTTATATACTTACTGGTGTTTAACTAAAAAATTAGTCGAAAAAATATACTTATCGGCTTTACAAAATAGCAATATATTTTTTTTTTTTTTTTGAAATAGTATATAAGCATACAACTCGCCTACAATCTAACTCTACTATTTCACTACATTCAGTGACAAAGTAATACATACGAGTACTCAGCCAGCCTTGTAGAGCCTTCATAAGCGTTCATATGCAAACTAATGCTTTAATTATTTTATTTTTGAAAATGAGAGTAATGGTCTATGTAAATAAATAACCATACAAAGTATATGTGTATGTTATCGTTAAGGAAAAATCATATCTGCCATGTCGGTGGACATTTAATTACCTCAATCACTCTGCTAAATGGTTATATATTTAATAAATTACAAGCTGTCAACATGTGTTGGTATTTATGACTACAGCTCACTAGCGCCTACAAACATATGCGGGCATGCCTTCCTTTAATTTTTATATGTAAATTTACAGGATTTTGCTGGTGTGAAAAAGAGAGTTATTTATGTTTCAGTGGCATAACAAATTACTTGCATTAATATGTACATACGTATATATATATAACTATGTAGGTCCTCGCACAGGCAAGTAAAAACTCAACAAATTAACAAGAAAATTATTTAA